TGAAAGATGAAAATTGTTCTTACATAAAAAAAAAATTGGCTGCCAGTTAGATTAGAATAACCTACTAGGGTACAGTACTAAGTACAGTACTGAGTAGATCAACACTGTATACTGTATGTCTTATCCATTAATTAATTAAAATGTTGTGCTTGCACATTGATTTCATCTGTTGGTAATCTATGCAGTATTTAAGTTTTAGAAACAATTTTAAGAACACCTTAAGAACATTTTCAGACTGATTTTGCAGAAAACACTCGATATATAAGAACAAAACCAGCCGGAAACCCCAAAATACGTGTTCTTTTAATTTATGCGGGTTTTTACAGTATTAAAATATGGAGAAATTCGTGCCAAAATCTTCTCAATGAAGATTATTTCTGCGGTGAGATATTAAGTACTTACGTCAGAAATGCAAAGAACAAATGAGAAACATTGCCAATAAAATTTACCTGCAACTTTCAAAATACTATTTAGCACGTTAAAATTGGGTTTCCCCATACCACTGTTGAGTTATAAGAATTTTAACCAAGAAGTGGAACCTACCTATAACGAATGTTTTGACCTAAACGCCTCCTATATATTTTTTCTTTAACCAGTAGACCGCTCTTTCTATGAGTTTACCAGCGTAATAAAACCACACGGGTAGTTGGGAGAACACGACGAAAGCTTGTAAGTCAGCAGCTATTCGCAGCTATGGGAAGAACGTCCACTTTGTCGTCCACAGAATTCGCTAAACACCGAAAGTGCTTAAGGTTACAGTATACCTTCAGGTCGGCAATTTTCTTCAAATTTGGATTTTTGGGTCAAAGTAGTGGTCGAAGAATAATCTCTAATTCCTGAAAAAATTTTTTGAAAAAAGACTAAATATTGGCAGAGAAATGGCGGTTTTACGTTTTCGTTGGAAGTAAAAGTTTACATCTTGGGTGACAGCCCTTTGGCGCGTATGCAATCAACCGAGACGATTTTCGCGGGAAATACCCGTACGGATGTCACGAATTGACTACTCATCAGTTGATCAGCTTTGTTGTTCTGACTACCAAGCGTTTTTGGTATTAGATGTAATTCTGTTAAGTTATAAGTAAAGGTAGACCACGTTAAAAACATGGACCAGCTCGAAAAAGCGAAAGCAGCGAACAACGAGTGAAAATACATCAATGAGTGAAGATGCGAAAGTTCGCCACGCAGATGAAGCTATAGCTATCGTGTAAGGTGAGGGAAGAGAAAAGAAAGGTTATGTAAAAATTTGGGAACTTGACAGCAATAACAGGATGTTGACAAAGACTCCGATAAATCCGATATCGACAAATTGTTGGACTCTTTGAGACCCATTGAAATATTGTCCATGCACAGTTGACCACGCACAGTTGCTCCACCGCACTTTCTTTTATCTGTTTTCTTCGCCTAACCACTCTAGCGTTCGTATCCTTTTTCGTCTTCCCCATTTTCCCAGAGTGACCAGCTTCAAGAAAAACCGAGCTACAGAAAAATTATCTCTCTGCTTTTGGCGCCTTGAGCGCATTGCAAAACATAAGGGTTTCTTTGGAGATTCTATTCACCAAGACGTTATTAACGTTAGTAAACTTTAAAGAGTTAAAACTCAAAGGGAATTTGTTCAATTGCCCTCAAATTTGGACAGTAGCTAGTTTAACATGTAAACTACAAACACGTGTCGCGAATTGTTAATTTCGAAATATTTTTTCTTCGAGAGCGATTTTTGTACGATCACTCTACATTTTTTAAATCCTATTTCGAAAATGTTCTGTAACTTTTTACTGCAATTGAATATGGCAAAACGCAGACATCTTTTTAAAGCGCTTTGGGCCCTGAAACCGAGAAAAAAATGAAATTGGCAAAAAACAAAAATTGCTTTGACTTGTAGCTCTCGAAAGGTGATTCGGGCGCTCACATTTGGTTGTCGTGAAAAATTCGACAATTCATTTTATTTCAAAACTCTTGGAATAGTTTGATAGCCAGCTCTGTAAGCTTTAATTTGATATAGGGGCTTAGGTATCTACCGCTTAGACTCACTACATCGCTTGCACGTGAGACACCCCTGAAGGTATACCGTAACCTTAAGAGCCACTCCCCCTAACCACCGCGAGAGACGCGGCACAAGGTCGGAAAAATGGACCCCTTGATATTTCGCCCAGAGCTAACCTATAAACTAAAAACAGCTCTTCCACTTGCTAGAATTGAATTTTGAAAGAATTCTACATAACACCGAGTATGTTTAGAGATGTTTGAAAACGGTATGAAATTTTTGATTTTCAAAGTCTAAAAATTTCGGTTCTCTTCCCTTGGTCTCCAGGAATTCGGAATTACAACTGTAACTCTAAACTAGCATCAAGGCAGCTTAGCAATACCTCCTAAATAAAATTTTAAACTGAGGAAAGCCATAATTTGCTATGCGCCTTCACGCGAGTTCGATTATCTAATCATGAAATTTGACCTCATTTCTGTCATTTTCGGCTTCACGGGTTGTCGACGGTTTTTCGTAATTTTCTCAAAAATGTAAAAACTCTAGAACCTAAGACTTATATCACGATTCTTAGCATACCATAGGTTATCTCTGGACGAAATATCAAGGGGTCCTTTTTCCAACCTTGCGCCATATTTTTTCAATCTCACACGGTCCCTATAGAGAGTCGCTCTTAAGACTTTCTTCTAAACTCGAGCGTAAACGGAATGTGCGTAAAATTTTTGCCATGAGAAAAAGATCACGTATTGTATGGCTTGACCAATTTCTGGTGCTGTTTTTCCTTGCAAATCTCCATGTAAATGTTGATTAAAAAATATTCATGTTGTTGATATTATTGTCGGCCAGTAAAAGCAGAAATTGTTATTACGTTCTCGCTAGTGTTCAGAGCTTTAAGCTCTCGCGTAGTGCCGCCCTTTACCAATACAATAGAAAACAGATTTGGCAACTCTGTTGAGCAACCAGGGAGAGCGTAGTGTCTCAGTTATTTTTTAATTTTAATAGTAGCATTAAATATCATAATACCATGAAACTGGTGTTTTTTTGTCGTTTAGTTCCTGGTTATGTTCCACGGGTGTACGGATATAATCTTGGTCCCAACTCTCTCGAGATTAACTGGTCTCCTATACCTGAAGAAGATACTCATGGAGTTCTTCTTGGCTACGTGGTGTATTTCAGACGTTATGGTTCCTACGAGAACTTCACCACTGTCAAAGTGAACGCAAGTACCCGAGTATTGAGGATTACAGGTCTCATGGAGGCCACGAGATATGAAATCAAAGTTGCAGGTCGTACATCTGTTGGCGAGGGTCCTTTGCGTACCAGATATGTGAGCACAGGTTGGTAGCTAACTGTTGTGTTTATCAATGAACGATTTCCTAAATAGCAGTCTTGAAGCACTTGAACGGTGTGTTTTTCTTATCCAGTGAAAAACTACAAGCTTGATGTGTTGATACTGATTGTCACAAGCTTACTTGCTTAGCTATTGCACAGTACAACACTACAGGTTTACTTACATAGGCAAATTTGGTGCTTTTTTTCGGGCTATGGTCTTGGCCAATCTTGTGGGATTTAAAACACCGCAGTTTTGTGTAACCTGAAGGGTCTTCTTTCGGCCTCTTTCAAGACATTATTCAATCAATTAAGCACAACAATCCTGTGAGAACAAACACTTACTTAAAATGTTCAATGTCCTATTAATTTGTAGTCTCACCCAAAAGGCTTGATTTAATTAAGGTGCCTGGGTAAAATCGGATCAATTGAAAAAAAAAAAAAGGGACAATTGGATGTCACAGCAGATTTGATATGGAAGGGCTAGTTGACTAAATCTGTTTTATCAGCAAGGACGACCAGGCAAAACGTTTTGTAATTTCTGTATATATTCAATATTACAGCTTGTGGACAGACCTTCAATGGTACAACAAGTGAAATCAATGTAATAACCTCATACTATTCAGGATATTGTATCTGGGAAATCCATTCACCTTTAGTGAACTCAAGCGTGCTTCTTGTTGTTCAACGTTTCCAAATGCAGTATTGCTGGTAAGAACTTTGGATCATTCCATTATTGTTATGAACTTACTTCCATGTGGTTGTGTTACCAGAGGCAGCCCAGACCTACTGTATGTGGAATGAATTTATAAACAACCGAACCATAACATTTATGTCTTCAAATCTTCTGAAACAAATGATAATGATGAGTGCTGTATTTCCCGCGCTCTGTTTACTGG